AACAAGAGAGAGAGTAAAAAAAACAATTTTCTTTTACAATCATCATATTTATTAATATTTGTACCGCACTTAATCAACAAAGTCGGGTTAAAAGTATATATATAACAAAACATGTGAAATTAATTGAACATTGTTAACAGAGGGTACAAAGTATGAATTAGAATAAATTTACAGTGACAAGTTACAGGTGAACATTGAACCTAAATAACCTATTCAGTCACTAAAAACGAAGTGTAGCTATATATATTTTATTGACGAAATAGACAGATATGATATAAAAGTATCGGAAACTTCAATACCGAAGATTTTCAGCATAAATTGCGCGAGAGAAAAAAGATAAAACACGTTTAAGTTATTTTTTTATTTGCTTCTTGGGCATGTTTTCTGGCAAATTCACTGTTTTCCAGTCAATTTTTTTTTATCGAATTTGAGAAAATTTATAAAGTAATAAAGTTGTATCTGCTCGGATTTGAAATGGTTTTTCTTTTATAGGACAAATTAATTTGAAATGTGTTATGATGGTGGATTAATTTTAATAAAAAATTCTGAAATTAAAATATGAAATAAGATAGTATTAATGTAATTATGTTATCTGTTTATTTAATCCTATTGAGCCACAACAATTTGTATGGTTAACTATGACTATAGCCATTATTGTTGCCAGAGACAATTACAGTTATATATTGTTGCAAAACTAATGGCCGGCTCATTAACTTCCATGTTTTATTACTCACCGTTTTATAACATATTATTTTTTTAATTTTAAACAAATATATAGCTACACAGTCATATATACAAAGTGTCACTCTCACCCTAGTATATATAATTATTTTAGATAAAATTATATAAATTCAACTAAAACATTAAAATTATAAAATGACATCTATAAATAATTAAAAAATTATATATGACGTTAAGAAAGAAAATTATTTAAAAAAGTGTTACTTCAAAAAATACTCTCTCATTCTCTATAGAGAAAGTGAGAGAGTGTGTATCTATACTTATATATAAAGATAATTCTTTATTTTTGTATCTACATTATTTTGATAATTTTAACCATTTAAAAAACTGCATGATAATAATTAAAAAAGATATTAAAAGCTTTTTAATAAATAAGTTTTTTATTTGAATTTCTTGATAATTATCCACTATTACTACCTCCAACAATGTGTATGTATTTAGAGATACCCACTAGTTATAGTAATGTTAATATTTTACTTTCACCATGTTTATCTTCAATCAACTTGTTTATACACGTAAGTAAATATTATTCAAAGGCAAATTAAATATATCAGTCTTGTATTAATTTGAATTGTGATCCATTCATTAAATTTTAAACTTCAAGGATCAATCTCTATAATAAATTGTAGGTAAGCTTTAACAGTTTATTAAGTTTCAATTTCGTATTGCTTGGACTTTACCAAAAAGTCAGTTTCCAAAAGTTAGTAATAGTGGTGACAAAATTTAATGAAGTTCACTAAAATAAATATGCTCATACTAAATAAATATGTTAAAATGGTATTTATTTACATATATGCTCTTACTATCTAAAATTTTTTGCTTTAATATTCTCTCTTTGAAAATGAAAAACATAGTTTACATTTAAAAATGTCATTTTGTATATATAAGAAAAGAAAAACGAAACATGATTGGGGATGGGGGTTACGAATCTAGTAACTAATTGTAGCTTTTGAAAGGCACCAATTCTGCCATTATATAGAGCCTAATTAACTAATAAAAATTGGATTAGCAAGTGAAAAAAATTCATGATAAGATCTTTTATTCATAATGTAAACCAACTATCTTGGAATGCACTTTCAAACTAGGACATATAAGATTCATGTGTAAGTACAACACCAACACATAATGCTCAATATACATGAGCATGGCAAGTATTCATAAAAAAATATTACTGTTATCAATCACCAACTTTCAATATTAACCTATTCAGAAAATGAATTCGAACTCCCGGGTAGTGATAGATATATAGATATAAGGGAGTCAATATCCATTTTGCTATACCGGATTTTAGACCGAGCACAATACTAAAATAAATATATTTAAATATAAATTTAAAAGAATTTTTTTATTAAAAAATATACCCTTTATTTCAAATAGAGAGGTTTTTTAAAGTTTTTATAGACTTTACATACAGATTTAAAAATCATACCTGTTTGGCTAAATATTCCTAAATCGCACTGATGAAATGAGGAGCGACAGATCTTTAATTTATCATGGGTTAAGCAGGTGTGGTTGGATGGTGCTTTTATTTTTTCCGTTAGCTTCTGCATAAATCATCCACAGCCACAGCTATGAAACATTAATAGGTAGATGGACCTAATTAACATAGGTGTAACATGGTATATATATGTTTCAAACATTGCTTCCATTCATGCACAGAATCTCGGTAAAAGGCAACCACAACCTTCATTGCTAGCAAATAATTTTAATATACACCATTAATTCTATATATGCATACAAAATCCCATTTTTTTATAATCAACAATGCAGAGGGGAAGCATAATACTTACAGTTTTTTTTTATCATGTTATATGCCCAAAGTATTTTTTAATTTGTTTATAAAATTTATTAGAGAATTTTGTTGAATCATCCTTAGTATATCTTTTCTCTAATTATATTTTTTTTATCTATACAATCTTCAAACTTAAAATCTTACTTAAAAGATTTAAACTATGTTATTGTATTCAAATTAATGTTATTTTGGTATTAACCTTATTCATTAATCAAATTTATTTTTTTAATAGATTAACGAGTCTCACTGTATATACTCTTAAATCATGATTAACGGAATAAATTTGTTATTCCTTGCTTAATGTTTGACAAAAAAAATTATATTACTTAATTATGTAATGTGAATATTTTCTTTTTGGTTTAACTTTGTTTTACTGGATTAACTAATTATAGAAATATAATGTATCTCTAATTATGACTCTTTGTTTAAGAGTTTACTTAAATATAAACTTCAAAATATTTTTGAAACTTTTTATTAAAATAATTCGTTATTTTCAATAAATAAAAAAGTTATCAAAAACAGTTCAGTCCTTAATTAAAAAACATAAGGGTATACTAACAACTTTTTAATGAATTATGAAGATATTATTATCACTTCCTATCCATTTATGTTTTTACAAGTTTATAGTTAACAACAACCTTAATTATATTTCAAAAGGCAGTTATGTTAACCACCATCATAATAATAATGGTTATGAAGTTAAAATTAAAGTTTTGATAAAGGAAATAATTAATTTTATTAATGCATTTTCATCTTAACTTTTAATAATAATAAAATATTTGTTGATTATTTAACTATATATTATTTTAAAGACAATAACTAACAAATCCATTTGAAAATAGGCTACATGAACAATAAATTATGTATATTCACCTTATTCAATGTCTTCATAAATTATATATGGTTTGACTTGAAAAAATCAGTTTGTCATTGTTCTTGAATTTCATTTTGAATTTCTTAATCTAATTACAGATATATATTGCATACTATAGGACAATAGAAAAGTACGTAAAATAAATAAATGGAATGAAAGGATCAGATCTTTTCATATATGATGATCTTTTATCTGATTTTTATTGTTCAATAGAGTTGAAGCACGTTAAATTCGATTATTCCAAAAAGTATAAATTTTTAATCTCTTTTAAACTTTATTTTCTAGCTGTTTTGATGAATCCATGGATATTTACACTACTGAAAATCTGAGATACTCTTACAATTTGTACAGAAAATTAGCACAAATTTAATTGTGTAGCAAAAGAAAAGTCTTAATCCTTACATTCTTCTATACTGCTTTTGCTTTCAATTTTCACACTGTGAAACCTAACATTCCGTTTAATCTCTCCTTTTTATGCCAAGAACAGTCTATTTGTAATAAATGATCAATAGATTAGAATTCACACCTATATGACTTTTACTAATATCCAAGAATCTTTTAAACCCTTAAAAAACATATACACATAAATGAATGAATCACATATATACAAATCATGAAAGACATATATGTATATATATCTTACCAATGACTTAAAAGAAAAATGCATCAATTTACTATTTCAACTAGGCAAACAACAATTTCTAACCAGATTACTAATTCACATAAAATTTTTAAAGATATGTATATAACATATATAATCACAGGTTTCACAGAAGGGAAAAAATTACTATATTTTTATTATTATCATATTTTCACTATTAACATAAGATGAATTCTCTAAAGAAAGTTTTCATGCATGTCTATCCAAAAGTGACAACAATATATTGCCAATTACTAAACAAAATACAAATAATCTGTCAGTGCCGAAGAGTAGCCAATTAAATATCCAAAGAAGAATAAGAAAGCAGAGAGAGTAATATATAACCGAAGTCTCTCGGACAAATAAATTACATCTCTACAATTATGATAAAGCATCAGAGATCAGAAACAAGTCATTGAATCCCTGCAAGTAATAATTACCGTGAAAATATAGTTTCAGAAGATCGGGATACTTACTCTTTTAACCCTGGAGAGAAGGAAATGTCCCGAGATATGCACTTCTATTTATCCAAAACGCGTTGGTAAGCGGTGCTGATCCAGAGAAGAATGCGACTGGTGAATAAGAAAGAAGAGAAAATATATGAAGAGGATGAATAGTCGGAAGGGGTAACTACTCATTACTACTATGTAATATAATAGCAATTAGTTAATAAATAATAGAAATGGATGGAGATTGAACAAGAATAGAAAATATTCACCATTTTCCAGCTGTACAACTTTCTGCTCCTTATCTCTGCAAAGCGAAAATGCCTAACTAAGCAGCAGTAGCGTTGCGAACAACATCAACCCAACAACGCTAACAGAAACATTTGAGGATAGAAGAAAGCAACAAGCTTTTCTGTGTATCATTTAATGCAGTGAACGGAAAGAGAGAGTACAGTTTACAGTATATACCAATGCAATAAGAAAAGGGGACACAAACCATATACCATATATTTAATTATGATATAACATAATAATATATATGTATTGTACTACTATTATACACAATTGAAAGAACTAATGGTCTCGTGGTCATCAAAGGATTTATTTTTCATTTCTTCAAGACTCGAATCCCCAGCAAATTAACGTAAGTAGAAATGCTAACTTATACTAATTGCGGATTAGAAGAAGAAGAAGAAGATTAGAAAGAAAGTCTGGGAGCTCCGTATTCCTTTGCAGGTGGTAAGAGAAAGAAAAAGTAAATGTTTGAAAATGGTGCAAAGGAGAAGGTAGCTAGCCCAACTATCTCTGAAACTAAATCTTCTCCATTCATTCATTCATTATTTGTGGTTGTGGTTGATCGAGTGGGTTTATTGGATGGATCACTTGCGAAACTGGAAAGAGGGTTCCAAATCAAAGAGCACGGAAGTCCCCCTTTTATGATGATCTCCAAACCTTGCAGCTGACAAGGAAAGCGGGTCTTCATGTGGTGGCAGTGGCATCCTCAAGCGCTGAAGAGAAGAAGGAGGAGGAGGAGGAGGAGGAAGAAGTGAATTACTCACTACTGTTGTCACATGTGCTGCTGCCGAACCCGAGGACAAGGCTTTGGAATCTTCGGCCGAAGAGGCACATTCCATGTTCACCCCAAATAGCCTCAGCCGTTTTCCGCTACTAGTATTAGCATCACCACCACCTGCTCCACTCCTGACAATGCTTCCTTGTGCAAAGCCATGGCAATGATGAGCAACGTTAACCGGCACAGAATCAATGATCAAGCCTCTCCCTTGCAAGTTTTGAATATCACCGCCCATTGCCATGGAGTTCCTGAGGTAATAGAGTGACCCAGATCCGGAATTCTGCTCAAAGTAGTTGCCGTGAAGACCGGAAGTGGCAGTGGAAGTGGCAGTGGCAGTGGCAGTGGCAGTGGCAGTGGCACCCCTACCGGCGGAAGAAAGGTAGGGGTGGTGAAAAGCGAAGTTGTTGTGGTGAAAGTGATGATCGTTGTAGCGAGGTGGTGGCATGGTGTGAGGGAGAGAGTACCATCTGATATTATTGGGAAGGAAGAAAGGGGAGGCCGAAGGGTCAGGGGCATGAGGATGAGGGTGATCAGTCCTCCTCTTCCAATCTATGTACAACCTTTGTCTATTCAAGTCTCCGAGGCCACGCTGGAAGGAGACAATGTCGCCGGCGTCGAGCTTCTTCTCCTTCACAAAACGGCTCCACCCCTTTGTCATCACATAGCTCTGGCTGCTGTTCCAGTACGAATACCTGAACCTCCACAGCTTCCCGTTCCGGTCCTCGAAGTTGAGGAGAAGCCCCTTCTCGTTGGATGAAGAGTCGAGAGGGAAGTACTTCTCCGCGTGCTGCTTCGGTATCACCAGCCTGTTCAGCTTCCCCACATCGCTCGGTGTCACCACTTTGTCAAACATGTGCTCTTTCTCCACCACCACCCCTTCCTTTGTCTTCGAACAACTTCCTCCTTCTCCTTGTTGCGAATTCCCTTCTTCTCCCTCTTCTTTGTTGCTCCCAAGTCTCAGCTCCATCAACTCTAGCTGCTTTCCGAATTTGTGCTGGTGTAACCCTAACCACATGCCCAGTGCCTCAATTGTTAGTCACATCTACAGATTCATCATGCATGTCCCCAACGGCGTGGGGAAGAATTGAACAAGAAGATGATGATGATGATGTGATAATTAATTGATCGTGGATGGAGAAGAATTAGAAATTAAAAGGGGTAAGAGAAAGAGCGAGCTTACTGCTGCTGCTTTCAGCTTCTCTTGTGGCTTCCTCTTCCTCCTCTTCCTCCCTGCTATCAGAATAATTGCCTTTAACTTGTTGTATCAACTCCATGGAGTTATGGCTGACCTACCTTCAATTCTGTCAATAATAACCTCTGGATCTCAGCAAAAACAATGGGAAAGACATAAAGAATTAAAAAAATAAAATGAAATGATTAGAATAAAGCGATCCAAGGGAGGAAGAGGGCAGGAAAGTGAAAAATAAATAATAAAATGAAATTTGACAAGAAATGGAAAAGCGTGAGGAAAAGTGGGTGTGAATTAAAAAGAATTAATTAGATTACAAGGTCAAATAATTTAAACGTTGTTGCCAACACAACACATAGCTATAGCGCGAGGAAGATATTTTACCCAGATTGCTAGAGAAAAACAAAAACAGGTTCTTAGTACACAAACATTATAACAGTGGGTAGCTTCGTATTTGACCACATAACTCCAAACCCTAAAGAAAGACAAGGCATGAAGCGAGCGAGTGTGTGGATGTTATTGTTATTGTTGACCTAGAAAGCATAATATAGGAGAATTTAGATGGCGAGAGGGAGAAGTGGTGTGGAGTGTGGAGTTTAGCTATAAGTATAGTTACCTCGCTCACTGGAAGGTTCTTTACAAGTAGGAAAAGAAGCAAAAAAAAAATTGTTGCAAGCCATCGGGTTTTATTCGTGGGAGAGAGAGAAAGGTAGATAGAGAGGATTACTACACTTACGTGGGGGCCATGAATAATGTGCCTATTGTGGTCATGTGAGCAACTTGTCGTTTTCATCATATTTGGTATAATCTGTACAGTACATATGCTTCCGGGTTGAGGCTAAAGGCCCAGTTGTTCCAGAAACAAGGAGCTTATTAACTTAACTAACCCTCTTAAATTTACCTTGCACCCTTGGCATAAAACCATACATATTCATTAATTTAATTTTATAGCTCTTACTCTTAGCTCTAGGTAGGAAATGGCAATGGCATAGTAGAGTTTTGACTTTTAGTGCGATTGATTGAGTGTGTTGTGGATGGTCCCCGGGCGTAAGGTAAGAAAAGGAAAAGCCAATGGCTAAACTAAGAGAAAATGGACACAGACCACCCTGCCCTGCACCCTCTCTCCTGCCACTGCTTCTCCCTATATAATATAACCTATCTTTTCCTCTTTCATTTCTATCCATTATCAATATTAATTCTCACTCATCCAACCCTTCCTATAACTCTAAACTAATTGTCACCTTTTTGCCCTAGCTTTCAACTTCCTACTCACCAGTGCACACGCTTTTTTTAAAAATTTTCTTTTTGCCCTATTGAATATTAGTTAGGTTCAATAACTTTGAGGTAAATCTAATGAGAAAGTTTCCCATTGGAAGTAAATATAAAAAAAAAATGATTTAAATCTTGTCTTAAAATAAAAATACCACTATTTTGAATTAAAAAATTTAATGGGACACAAATTTAAATATTCTTATAATGCGTAAAAAAGACATATATTCATAATTTAATAATCATATTACTCACTTTCTTTTGTTTACTTATTACGGCATTTATTTTCACTTTCTTAACTTTATATGCATATATAATTTGTTAAGTTATATATGGATATTTATATATATTAAAACAAATGATTGATGAGATAATGAAATTTTTAGGCATTTGTATTTTTTTTTTCCAACTATATTGGGTGAAAACGGACTAGATTGTCCGACAACAAATCCAAGTTAATCAAAAAAGACTTTTTTAAGATAGGTTAAGTCAAATTTTAATATATATTTAATTAGAAATGTCACACTTTTAGTCATTAATATAAATAGGCTTCAATTACAAGCCGAGCTATTAAAATAAATATAATAATAAATTTTTTGTATTACTACATCAACTTTTATAAATATTAAATTATCTATTAAGTTACCTTTTATATATTAAACATGTTATCTCATATATGAGTCAAGTGTATATTGTAAAGTACATTTTAAAATAAATTATCATAAATGTTTAATTATACTTTAAAAATATGTTTATTTCCTATAAATATATAACTTAGACTCATTTTTTTTTTTTTATAAATTCAGCCAACATGTTTCTATTCTTGTCTATACCTTGAATAGAGGTCGCTTTATTTTTCATAATTTATATTTTTTCATAGAATTTATTCACATTAATATATTAAATGAATTTTAGCTTATTTAGGAATGTCATGCCTATATAAAAATCTGTATGAAATGAGCATTTAAGTAGGTTAGCAAACCAAGTTAGACTTTGAAAAGGTTAGGTTACACCTAAACAAAAAACCTATGATATTAGACCACATGTCAAGCTTAAATTTTTAGTTTTATAAATTGATCAAGCGCTATGTCTTGTTCGACCAAATTTATTTCCATTAATAACATCTACAAATATAGATATGGGATAAGCCTAACCATTGTAGGTTAATAATTGTTTTTCTTTTATGAATATGATTCATCCAATATTTAAAAACTCATAATTAAAAATTAATCTGATTTTTATTGGTTAAACATTGTAATTAAGCTGTTAATTAATACTTAGTACGTAATATATACATAGACTCATTACTTATTTCTCAAAGAAATGTTTATTTTTGATATATAAAAAAATATTGAATAATAAAATGGTTATTAATTGTTTTACAACTTTAAATTTGATGGCAACATCAATATACATGGACTAAAATCTTTTTTGCACAGGATATAATCAATTAATATTAAATGTTAAATTTAAAAAAATGACACTTTTAATAACTTTATATAAATGTTAAATTTTATTAATTCAATCAATAATATTATAATTCTCATGAAATTGATTAAGTTTACAAAATTTAATATAATTATAAAATTAATGACTACTTTATTTTTATTTTCTGTTGGTTAAGGGAGGAGAAAAAGGGTTGGGGACGATAGGGGTGCAGAGGTATTTTTCTGTGCTTGAAACCATATGTCCCCTAGCTATAACACTGTGTTGGAGGACATATTACATCACTTTAGTTTAATGCATAATATATTATTTAAAATATTAATAAACTTATATCGTTAATTTATATATTTAATGCTTGAATTAACTAAAATTTTGATATACATAAATATAAGAATAAAATCAGATAATTTAATAATTAAATTCATAAAGTTTAATGATTTTTAAATATTATTTTACTACATTTGATATCTAGTATCAACTAATCTTATCCATATAATATATTTAGTTGTTTGAGTAAAAACATTTGATTATTGTTAAACTAAAATTACCGATATTACTAAATTCGAATAATAGATATATAATATATTAAATAAGTAAAGAAAATGTACATGTAGTTTTATTTTAAAAATGACAATTTAATTAACACGACTAAGTTTATATAATTCGAAATTATTAATATTTTAATTTATACTTATTATCAAAATTTATACAAGAGAAAAATATATCAATAAAAATTTATACAAGAGAAAAATATAATATGTACATATTATTTTTTAATAACAAAGAATCAAAATATTGCTCTGATTTTTATTCAAATTATTTCAATTGAAAATTGATGATTACCTTTAAATCACACCTTGTTATTATTCCTATTGTTATTAATAGCATGTATGAAAGTTTTTGAATTAGTAGTTCGTTCTTGATTAGGGGATGCCTTGGTTTGCCCAGAAAAAAAAAATGAAAGCTCTTGGAAATTGTTAATAGATAAATGCAAGTTTGATTATCTACATGGAAGAGTAAGCACATCTCATTTGGTAAGCATATCCTTTTGCTTAACTTTGTCTTCTCTAACTTATTGGTGTACCTCCTCTCTTTTTACAAAGCTCTAGAATTTTTTTTTATCTTTTTCCTTCAAACAGATTCAATGAGATTTCTTTTAAAATTAGTAGGGTGAGGGTCGAGAAAAAATTTGCTTAGGTAAAATAGGATGCAAGCATGCAAACCAAAAGGATGAATGGTTAAGGGTTAAATTAAGACTTAAATTATTTAACGTATAATGTTTCATATAGGTTGATGGAGACAAATATCCACAATGTCATGTGATGGGTAAACACATTTTCACTCAAACTTAAGGACAATCCTCATTAGAAAATATAAAGAAATTTTTAAATTTTTTTCTAGTTTATTATGTGAGTACATTGCTAGAAATTATATTTGTTTCATATCTAGTGTTACTTCCTTGCATAAGATTTCTCCACAAACTTACTCAAAATCATCATCTAGTCCAATAAGGAATATATGTACCATCAATCACTCAATTGACTTTTAATATAATTTCACATCATCAAGATCATCCATGACTATTTTGTCACGATGATCTAATTCCGTAAAAATCTCAACCAATTCCCCATAATATTTTGTTAGTATTTTATTATTTTGTTTTACAGTGAATGTCCTTTGATTTAGGACAAACAGTTACTTCCATCATAAAATATCTTTGACAAAGTATTTCAAATATCAAGGGCAGTGGGTAATCAATGAAACCTTATTTTTTACTTCATGGACATCAATAGTCATTTTTTCACCTTTTAGTTTTCAACATACCATTTTTCATACCCTCATTTTTTTGTTGGAGGCTTCACTTTCTTGTGGATGTTGGAAATTTTTTTCCTCTTTCTACAATGTGCATCTCCATTAGTTGTGACCACACATCATAGTTGGACTCGTTTAGGATGATGCCTGCGTTGAAGATAGCTTTAGATTGAACTGCCACCAGAATTGGTATTTTTTCTACCATCTCTCAAATGAAGATCTTCAAGGATTTAGGAAAAAAAAGAGCCTAAACTCTGATACCAAATTAGAAAATAATAAATTTAATGACTTTTATTCATACTTTTGGTATAAAAATACTCTATTCTTATAATATTTTACTCCTACAAATCAAGGGATAAATAAGGAGGTTTACCAATCACGAACAAAATTAAGAAAGTCCTAATTATAAAATATTTTGTACAAATATGCAAACCTATAATTTAGCTAATCATATATCTTCATCTCAATATTACTACAGTATCCTCATGAATTGAGGTGTTTTGGTATATTATTTTAGTCATTAAGTTACATGCTTCACATTTATATAGGTTTTCTCTTCATATTTTAACCACTTTTTATGTCATATTAGTTATTCAATAGAAGTGTAGAAATACAAATTTAAAGACCTATGAAATGTGGAGTAAAAAAATATTCATAATACTAGTTGTGGAGTAAAAAAATATTCATAATACTAGTTTGATCCAATAAAAGGTGAGAGGTCTAACTTTTATTTTGTTTGTTCACCGATTTTAAATGTCATAACACCTCTAATCAACTATTTAACGCAAGTACAAAATTATATCATGACAAAAAATTAAATAAAAATTAATGACTATTAATTTAAAAATTCACAATTTCAAAACCCATCAAATTTACATGGATAAGATAGAATTTGACTGCTATATATCCATCATGGCCTCAAAGGGTATTGCGTGAAACAGATAGATAGAAAAGTATTTTAAAAATAGAACAGAAAAGGGGGGGAAAAATAAATGGTCAAAGGTTTGAGCATAGGATGAAGGGTAGAATATTGTGTGAAACAATGCTCATTATTT